TTCTCTCTGGGGCTGCTGATGGTGACCAGGTCAGTGTGCTGCTGTCTGCAGTGATCTCGAGCGGCTGCCCAGGTCTTGTTCTGCTCAATCAGGGTGTAGGTCCTGGAGCCCTGGCTGGAGTCTGAGAGAGACACACAGGCTCAGACAGGAGGGGCTGTGAGGGTCTGGGGCTCAGAGAGCTGGAGTGCTGTGGGGGTGTGGGGCTCAGAGAGTTGGGGTGCTGTGGGGGTCTGGGGGTGAGAAAGTTGGGGCACTGTGGAGGTTTGTGGGTGAGAGATTTGGGGTGCTGTGGGGGGTTTGGGGGTGAGAGAGTTGGGGTACTGTGGGGATTTGGGGGTGACTGTACCTGTGTAACACATGAAGTAGTGCAGCTCGTCACAGACGACATCTGTCCAGTACCCATCCGGACCAGCGGTGGCGCAGAAGACCCGGGTCTTCCAGTTGGCATAGCTGGCCCTCTCTCCGCTGACCCACTGCCAGCTCTCCGTGCCGTGGTACAGCCCGATCCACACCGGCCCCCTCACGAGCTGCCCGAAGTGCCGGAAGTGCAGCTCCTGGAGCTGAGCCTGGCCGCGCGCCGTGAGCAGCTCTCCCCCGTGCCGCCGGCAGTACCCGCGCGCCTTCGTCCACGTCTTGTTCTTTTCAACCAGCTGGCAGTCTCCCGGCGCCGCCCCGCCCGCTGGAACAGCACACAGCACCCTTGGTCCGGCTCCTTTTAACAGCTTTCCTGTTCACCCGCTTTTCGGTGTGTTACATCCCCTCCTAACTCTGCTCTACTCACCGAAAGTACTGCCAAGAATTAAAACAAATCTGAGTTCTACACGTCTTATTCGTACACAGCGGTTTCTTCTCTGAAGCCCTTGACGCAACAGTTCCTTGTAATTTCTTCGGTAGTCCGGATATTTACGTAGTCTCTAGCTCAGAGTGCGCTACTGTAGTTATTGAAGGGCGCACTCGCTGCATCCGCCTTCCAGAGCGCCTCCGTCATTTTCGCTTTCGTCCCGACATCTAACGTCTAATTTCAGTTAGCAGAACTTGTATAAAGTCTACTGGCAAATCAGATTGTTATCGTAAAGGTAACTTCGCCAGCCCTGCAAGAGAGTGACAATGGGCACTTCTATACCAATACTGGGAGTCTGTAGCAAGCTCTCTCCTTCAGTTGGATTCTGAACACAACAATCACCCCAGAGCTCGCTCTCCTCCACGGCCCAGCCCTGGACTCTGACTGCAGGCTGCCTGAACACAGCGATCACCCCAGAGCTCGCTCTCCTCC